CACTACTGTGTCATGCCACCTTGGTTTTGCAGCTTATTGTTTCCCATTCTGTAAACTTTCCTTGCCAGTCCCTTCATTCCCTCCTGATTCCTAATCCCTGTGTAAGGTAGTTGTCACTCATACTATTTCTCTTTGGTGTGTCTATGTTTATTCTACTCTGTCCTACTTTATTTAGCCACTCTTCTTCAAGCCAGTCAGCCTAATACTCTGCCTCCTCCTCCACTCCTCCCCTCCACACATAACAGTTTTTCCTACCATTGCCTTTCTTCTCCTCGATATAACATCGTCCCCTTCCATCACTGAAGCTAGACTGCAAACATTACCGTTTCCCTGAAAATAAGACTTAACCTGAAAATAAGCCCTAGTATGATTTTTCAGGATGCTCCGAATATAAAGCCCTATCCCAAAAATAAGCCCAGTGAAGTGAAACCCTGCCCTCCAACATTGTGCAGTAACCAGAATATGACATGACAGTATTTGAATAAAGGTAGATTGGTGTACATGAAGAAAAAAAAATCCCCTGAAAATAAGCCCTAATATTTTTTTTGGAGCAAAAATTAATATAAGACCCTCTCTTATTTTCGGGGAAACATGGTATATTCCTAAGCAAGCTGAATGTTCATGAACATTGTGTTATTGGATGTTCAACCAATCAGACAAGGACAATTCACTGCCACAAACATAATATGTGATCTAGTTGAGAAAGTATCTAAAAATGAGTATCTTACAGAAATATGAAAACATCCATTTGCTTTTAGCAAAAATGTGATTGCATTGCTGTTAATGATGCATTATTCGATGAAGGAAATAATTATTTAGATTGCTCTTGCCTGTTTTAAATCAGCTTTAATTTCAGATATGGATTCTCAGTATGGTGTAGTTGATTGAGTGATGGACTAGGACTCTGGAGAACAGGGTTCTAATCCCTACTTGGCCATGGAAACTCACAGGGGGAATGGAACTAGTAAGACCATGCCTGTTTTAAATCAGCTTTAATTTCAGATATGGATTCTCAGTATGGTGTAGTTGATTGAGTGATGGACTAGGACTCTGGAGAACAGGGTTCTAATCCCTACTTGGCCATGGAAACTCACAGGGGGAATGGAACTAGTAAGACCACTTCTAATAACAAGCCTTGGCTAAATAGAGAAGTGAGCCTTTTATTAAAAGCCAGAAATGCTGCTTTTCATTCTGGTGATGAACTACAGTACAGAGAGGCCAGAGCTAAACTGAAAAGGGGCATTAGGGATGCCAAAGCTATGTACAGCCAGAGAATTGAGCAACATCTTGAGAGTTCTGACACTCGTCGAGTATGGCACGGCCTAAGACAAATCACAGGGCAGAGTAACAAAAACAGTCTGTGTAGCAGCAGTGATTTTTTGGCTGAGCAGTTAAATCAATTTTTCAGCCGTTTTGAGGTGGAAACAGGAACAACCATTATTTCAGCACCTACTGTCTATAATACATCACTAGAATCTACCATCAACAGACAACCACTAGTACTGCAGATTTCAGATGTGAGACGCGCTTTCCAGAATATTAACGTTCGAAAGGCAGCTGGACCAGATGGAATCATGGGACAAGTTATTAGGGGCTGTGCTGCAGAATTAGCTGGAGTTTTTACGGATATTTTCAATCTATCCTTGTTGCAGTGTTCAGTCCCCACTTGCCTGAAGACATCTATTATAGTGCCAGTCCCCAAGCAGTCAGCTGTGGTATCTCTCAATGATTACAGACCAGTAGCTTTAACATCTGTTGTTATGAAATGTTTTGAGAGATTGGTGCTGGATTACATTAAGGCTAGTCTTCCACCTTCTTTGGACCCATGGCAATTTGCATACAGGAAAAATAGATCTACTGATGATGCTGTGTCCATTGTACTCCATACTGTATTGAGCCACTTAGAACATCAGGGAACTTATGCGAGGCTGTTGTTTGTGGATTATAGCTCTGCTTTTAATACCATTCTACCAAATAGGTTGTTTTTTAAAATGATCAACCTGGGATTACCTCAGGAGATATGCATGTGGATAAAGGATTTTCTGACAGATAGGCCACAGTCAGTAAGGATGGGATCTCACCATTCTTCTACCCTGGTACTAAGTACAGGAGCTCCCCAGGGCTGCGTGCTAAGTCCCTTCCTCTATTCCCTGTACACACATGATTGCACCCCACTGTATAACACCAATGCAATTATTAAATTTGCGGATGATACGACAGTGGTGGGGCTCATAAATAAGAACAATGAGTCTGCTTATAGAAAGGAAGTACAAAGGTTGATACTTTGGTGTAAAGAAAATCATCTCACACTTAACATCAAAAAAACTAAAGAACTCATAATTGATTTTAGGAGGAAGAGAAATGTACATTTACCACTGTACATAAACGGTGAGGAAGTGGAGAGAGTTGGTAGTTTTAAATTTCTGGGTACTTACATCTCAGAGGACCTCTCATGGACTACAAATGCCAACATGCTAATGAAGAAGGCACAGAAGAGGCTGTATTTCCTGAGAATGCTCGGCAAGTTAAATTTATCTCAGCATTTGCTTCTGTCATACTATCGTAGCACCATTGAGAGTGTCCTAACCTATGGCATTCTGGCATGGTTTGGGAGTAGCTCTGTAGCGGACAAAAAAGCTCTACAGAGAACCATTAAAATTGCCCAGAATATCATCGGGCTCCAGCTACCAACCCTGGATGACATCTTCACATCCCGCTGTCTAAGGAAATCACATAGCATCCTGAGAGACTCTTCCCATCCTGCTTATAACTTTTTTGAACTGTTACCATCTGGCAGAAGATATAGAACAATTAAGACTCGGACCACACGTTTTCTCAATAGTTTTTATCCCAGAGCTATAATTGCAATTAATAATGAGCTTAAAGACCACCAGTAGTGAATAATTAGTTGGACTGTGTAACTTGGCCTGCGGTGTAGATGTTTGTATTTTTAGTGGGGGACTTTTAGTGGGTGGGGAGTGTTTGGGAATTTTATGTGTGTGCATGTGTCTGGTCTCTGGGTGTCTGTGAATTTCGTTGTATGTGTATACACTTACAATGACAATAAATTATTATTATACAGTATAGTATCTCACTTACCTTGGAAACCCTATTAGGGTCGCTATAAGTTGATTCTGACTGATGGCACAGAACACACACGCACACACACAATGTCAGATATATATTTGGTTTATCTGATATTAAAGGAACTGATATATATTTGGTTTATATCATTTTTCAAAACCCATCATGAGCCACTTATGCCTCTTAGATTGATGTTGCCAGGGCTTAAATCTAATTCTACTTGGGGAAAGTGAGAGAGAAAGAGAGAAAGAAAGAGACAGAATGTTCCCTTTATCTTCCTTATCAAAGCCAAGTAAAGTTCTTTAGTACGGGAGAATTCATTTATTTATTTAAAGTATTTTTCACCCCATCTTTCTCCTTAAAAGGACCCAAAGGCAGAGAGCTGCTGGACAGCTCAGAGGTTTAGGTATCTGGCTGTGGAACCAGAAATTGGGAGTTCAGTTTCCTACTGTGCCTTCTAGACAGGGCCTGATCCACTGGGGCCCTTCCACCTCTGCAGTTCTAAGGTTATTTACAATTAAATTCAACAGCGTTTGATGGAATAGCACTCCCTAGTAAGCATGCTTAGGGGCTTAACACAAACTTTAAAAATTGACAATTGAGCTGAGAGTGGTTCATGATCAAGGCAGGAGGTCCTTCCCACAAACTGTGAGGAGAGACACCCTTGTCCCCAGGTCCACAAGTGAGTGCAAGGTTAAGTGAGACTTTAAGAAGCCACAGATATTTAAGAATATAACACCAGGTGGAATCTTATCCTCCCATAATGGAAAACTTCACTGTCCACAGGGTCGCAAAGGATGGCACTTGATTCCCCTTGGAATCTTAAGGTTGTTGTTCCTTTAAATGTACGAATGGAAAAATGGAATTGTTTTTGCGGATGCAGCCTATCCAGTGAGGAAGTGAGGAGCTGTGGCGCTCGACATTCACTCGTCAGTAAATTATCAGGAAAATCGTGGCATGATCAATAATTCTCTAGAGAGAAGGGTACTATATTGCACTGTGAGACCAGGCAGGTGCCACGTTATCTGCGGTGGTGCATCCATAGGAATTCATGCTGCAGGATGCCACCATGGCAGTTAAAGCGCCATCAAACCGCTGTAGATGCATTGCCTTCAGAGCGAGTTTACACGTTGGGAAAGCATGACAAAGGTGTTACGCGGCCCTTAGTTCCGCACTGCTGCGACCCCCCCCCACCTCGTCCTAAACTCCTAGGAGCCTCTTCTTCGCAGTATTTTGCCCAGACCACACACCCACCCGCCTACGCGACCGGCTCTGCCTCTGCCGTTATTTTTACCCAAGAGATAAAAGAAACCGCCACGATTCCACGAGGCTAGGCAAGCAACGCTTCTGGCTCACTGTACATCAAAGGCACGCGCACACTCCTAGCCCGCGAGTTTAAACCCTATTCCCTTAGAACTCGCGGGTTGATTTATGGGGACGGGGGAAAAAGAGCAGCGCGGAGGCAGAGATGGTCACCACGGGGGCCGGGCGCGGAAGGAAGGGCGGGAGGCTGGATCAGCTGACAGGCCGGGTCTTTCCAACGGGACTCTATGATTCACCCTCTTACAGAGCAAAGCACGAGAAGGAAGACTCTCCTCCCCTGCCCGTTTCCTCTTCGTGTAATTGGGCGGCTGGAAGCATCCCCCCCCTTCCAACGAGGCACTCGGTCAGCGAGCCCTGCCCACCCCATCCCACCCAGCAGCTCCCGGCCGCTCCTCTTGCAGCTGATGCGAGGACTTGCCCTGGAGGCTGCAGAACAGAACCAGGCACCATTCCCTGCTTGGCCTCTTTCGCGAGAAGCAGGGATCCTGACACCCACTCGGGCTCAGCAGAGGTGTGTTTTTGGACTGCAAACGTGAATCTGCCTGTGTCGTGTCAGTCTTTGCGCCTCCCCCTCCCCAACACACACACACACACACACACACACACACATCCCGCTTGGGGAACTGACGCAGGGGTGAGGAGGCAAGGCAAGGCAAGGCAGGGCAGTGGAGTCCGAGCTCCATCCGCGCAAGCTGGCCAGGAGGAGCGCCAAAGCAGCGATGCTGCGGTTGCGCCATCTGTCAGGAGCCGGGGTGGCGACAGCGGCGGCGGCGGCGGCGGCGGCGGGAGGAGAGAGAGACTGAGGCGGCATTTTGAGACTTGGTTTTGCGGGGTTAAGGCAGGGGAGAGAAGAAGACCCGGGAGGAAGCCCCGAGCTCCGAAGCGGGGGGGAGGGCCCCCATCTTCTTCTCCCCGGACGACCGCTGCAGGCAGCCCACGCGCCCAGACAAAGCTGCTGTTGTCGCCGCCACCGCCCCCTCTTCCTCCTCCTCCTCTTCCTCGTCCTCGGGCTCTCGGCGCCCCCTCAGCTGCTGAGGCAGGGACTTTGACATCCACCCGTTCCCTCCTTCCGTTGTTATTTCGGTCCTTGCGCTAATAAGAATAATAAGAAGAATAGGGCTGGGCTCGGGACGGGACTGAGCGGGTGAGCCCTCGGCGAGCGAAACGACCGGGAAATCTTCCTCCCCTTCTCCCCGCTGCCGCTGCCGCCCCCCCCCCTCAGGACCCTGCACAGAGAGAGAGAGAGAGAGAGAGAGCACGAGGGGAAGGGGGCGTTGGTGCGAAGGTAGCTCTGCGGACCCCAAGCGCGACCGCGGCGCCTCAGGTAAGGACCCGGAGCGCGTGCCCTTTCCTGCCTGCCTCCTGCGGAAAGAGGGAGCGCGGCGTGCGCCGGCGTTTGTGTGAGTGCGCCGGGTGTCCTGCCTGCCTCTCCCGCCCCCCTTCCCCATCCCTTCTATGCACCTTTGTGTGCGCGCACGGCTCCTCTTGCTGAAGAGGGTCTTCGAAGGGGAAGGGCGTCGCATCCGCCACCGCTCTCCCTCCGCCAGGGCCCCGGGTCTGGGCGCGCGCGTGCTAACGGGGATGCCTGGAAAAGCGGAGACCGAAGGAAAGGAAGGAGGGGGCCTGGAAAAGGTGGAAGGAAACCCGGGCACCGGCTTAACGCGGGATGATGGGTGGGCCCAAACCTGGTGGGGAAATGCTCATTCCCTCCCGCCCCCCCGGCAGAAATCGCCTCCATTCTCGGCCCCGTCAGGCTGAACGGTGGCGCAGAACCTGGGAGGGGAGGCGAAGGGGAGCGAGAATAATGTGGCTCGCCAAGAATGGTAGCATCTGTTAAATGCGGAGCCACGCAACGTATTTACTAGCTCTGGGAAAGAAGCGAGTCGTCTGCAGTTTTCGCTCTGCTGTTTAAACGAGGGGAAGGCTGAGTGGAGCGTGATGGACGCGCTGTGTCAGACTCTGGCAGAAAGACATCAGGATTAGAAGTTTTTCATTAGATTCATAGGATGGTGTCTGTGTGTCGGGAGAGGGGGGGAATCGGGATAGCTTGACCCATCAAAGCAGAGATCGGGTAATTGATGTGACGTGCAGGCCTCTCTGTGGGATTGGCCCATCTTGTAATCCTGCTGGTGGTGGTGACGGTGACTAGTGTTGCCATATGACAGAATTTTCAAAACGGGGGCACTTGGGAGAAGACAACGCCTGATTGATCTACAGCACAGTGTGTGGAGCTGGAGTTTTCTGAATCAAGGGCTGCTTGCCTATTTGATTGTGCTGTGTGGTTGACATGTTCTGAAACATGAAATGAACCTTTTTAAAAGAAGAGAACATTTGGCAAGCCCCCTGATGGGAATGTGTGGGCTGCCTTGTAAGAGGATCAATTAGATAATGTTCGGTATAGCATGTTGAATGTGGAAGAGGCTAGGGTGCTAATGACTATGATGATATAATCCTTTAATAATTGATGGTTTTCCACCTGCACATGGTGCTTTCCTGCCTCTCCCCCACCCCACCCCTTTGGGGTCCTCCTGCAGAAATACTGACTTTCAGCCAGGTCTTCACCTCTTTTCATCAGCACATTTTGCTAATTCAGAAAAGGGGCAGGTCTGTGAGATTCGTTTCTAGGTTTTATGTGTTGCAACTTAGCTTCAAAAAGAGAAGTGAGAGAAATAATAAGTACAATAACTCCTCCCTCTCTTAAAAATAAATTTTAAAGGCTTTGCATGTGTGACAAAGAGGGCTTTGAGATTCACAGAATGCTCAAAGGTAGTGAAGTTTGAAAGAAAAACTCTACCCCCTTCTTGTTACTCTTCTCTAGAGTTGCTTCTGTCTTTTTCCTCAGGAGAGAGACCATGAATCTGTTTTCAGTTTTCTTTACGGGTACACTTAATTTAGTAAGTGGAATAGCACTACAGTAATATATCAGCCTAGCATAGACGCTCCATTATATCTAAAATAGCACTGCATCACTTAGGATAATTTTTAAAACAAATCCTAGGGAAGGATTCTGAATGTTGCACCATAAATGCCAGCATTTTCTTATGCCTGCACAGTGACAATGTACATTTAATCTAGATCTGGTTTCTGCTGCATCAAGAACTTGAGTTAATGCTGTAGTCATACGGATGTTAGCGCTCTCTCTCTCTCTCTCTCTCTCTCTCTCTCTCTCTGTGTGTGTGTGTGTGTGTTTATTTATATGGATAGATACACAAACACACATTGAAGAATGAGAACATTTTCCCAGAATGTGAGTTAGTTCATTCAAGAGATGGTGGGTAGATGAAGGGAAATTAAGAGAATATTAACAGTTTGTCTGCTTAGATGTCATTCTCACTAGGGTCGATGGGAGTTACTCCCAAGTGTATAAAATGGATACTTAAAAGACAGTGGCTGAAATCTTGTTACTTAGCCTAGTAAGTTGCCCTGCAGTTTACTGTTGTGTCCCTTCAAATTGAAATCAACTTATAGTGACCCTAATGGGGTTTTCAAGGTAGGTGAGATATTTAAGGAGTGGTTTAACACCCCCAGTGAGTTTCCATGATGGAATGGGGATTCAGACCCAGGTCTCCTGAGTCTGACTCTGTACATTACACTACATTACACAGGGTATCCCTGCTCTACAGTAGGCCTATTAAATCAGTGGGGATTTGGTGAGTCATCTCCTACATAAATTAAATTGATTCAAACAGGAAATATTCTAACGACATACTAAGCTTACCAACAGGAATGTAATGGTTTGATTTAGTAAGTGGCATAGTGCTACAGCAATATATCAACGTAGCATGGGTGCTCTCTTATATCTGAAATAGTGCTGAATCACTTAGGATAATTTTTTTAATGTGGGAAGTAAAACATAGAGGAGAGGATTTCTCCACTGTCCTTTCTGTTTTTAAAAAACAGTTTTTGAAGAGTTTTTTTTAAGCAATAGAACAATAATTAATGATCTGGCATGTTGTTGAATTGCTACTCGTTATTGAACAAAATTTGGACTAAATGCCACCGTTTGCTTAAAAATGTTAATTACATGCTAAGTATTATAGTAAGTGTATTTTTCACTTCCTTGTTTTGAAACTAAGGAAGTTGGAAACCAAAGTAACTAAGGATAAAACCACACATGCTGCAAGCTTATTTATTTATTTATTTTATTTTATTTATACCCCACCCATCTGGTCTTGCGAGCACTCTAGGCAGCTGGGATCCTGTACTTGAAGAAAGGCTGGATATTAAATATAAGTTAAGTAAAAAAATGCATATGAAATCAACAGACAACATTTCAGACTGCAGATGTGTGGTTCAATTTTAGGAGCAAAAGTGGCCTGAGAATGAGGATTAAGTCCTGACAGTGGCAGATAGCATTGCTGATGGGAGGGAATGCTAATCCAATTTTAAGAGAAGAATTGGCATGATAGTAGGTACAGTGGTGCCCCACTTAGTGAATGCCTCGTTTAACGATGTATTCGCTTAGCGATGAGGTTTTTGGAGCGATCTTGCACTCCGTTTAACAATGTTTCCTATGGGAAAATTTCGCATAGCGATGTTCGGGATCTTGCCTCGCTTAGCGATGACAGTTTAGGTCCCCCTGTTTCACTTAGCAATGTCCGTTTTCACTATTTTAAGTGTGTCTTAAAATGTTCAAAAACTGTTTTAAATGCTTGGGATCGTTAGTGCACCTTGTAAAACCTTTGCAAACTTAATTTGGCTTTGTTCTGACTCTTCCTTAATTTTTGGTGAATTCCCCCCCCCCCATTGGAATGCATTGAGTTTAAAGCTACTGTATGTTTGTGATTTTTTTTAGTGAGCTAATCACGGTATTATCCATTTTTTTGCTGTCAGACTGTGTAGAAGGAACACATGGTTTTCCTTCTTCTTTCTTTTTTCTTTTTAAACAGTGGTAACCTGTTCTCAGAGCCTCTCAGAAGCAAAATAGTTTATCTTAAAATCCTGTGCTCCTTCAGTTCTGTGCATTCCTGTCAATTTGTGTTACCATTTGATAAAGCGTAAGAAAGACATGAGATCTTGCTTAATTGAAGATGTTTACTTTTTGGAAACAATTATTGGTAGAACAAATAGGCTTTTTGGAATAGTAACTGCTGATTTTTTTTAGATGATGTGAGTACTCTGAAAATGTGTGTTTGTTGATTTGACATCAAAGATGATTACCACTGTGGTGCAAAAGATTGCTGTATAGAAAAGTATGCGTTTGTAGTTATAGTATGCTGTAATAGACAACATGTGTACTGCCCAAGGGCCTTAGTGAGGTTATCCAGCTATATCTGGGTGGAGTAGTGTGAGGAAAGGCCCCTGAGGCCAGCAGTCCTATAAGCTTCGTTTTGGTGAATACTGTAACTCTGCGTATGACATGACTTACAGTGGATTTATGGTCTAATAAAAATGTGCTTAGACAAGTTAAAACTGCCAGTTGTTTCTAGGAATATGCCTTGCATTATAGTATTTTTAGTCAAATGCAGTTGGACTAACACTGTAACATTTTGAAATACCCTTTTTCTTTTAAATGAACACAAGGTTTGCATATACAGTGTTTCAGTGTTTTATTTTATTAGTTTTCCTCTTTCCAGACCGCAGAAACAAATTGTTTAGAAAGTCTCCTACAAGTACAATTACTTGTTCAAACCACGGAATTAACAAGGAGGATTTTATGCAGTTTTTGCCTTGCTTGTAGGAAGATTGGCATGCATTGGTGAAGTTAGTTGGGAAACATGAATAAGGAGCTGGAGGCTCTTCATGTAGTGGACAAAGAGGGCAGCATGTACCATTCTGTCTAAACAGAAATATTTTTGCCAGACAGTGGGAAGACAGCAGGGAGGGAGCCAACCATGCCTCACTTGGAAGTAAGTTCCATAGCTTGGGAGGAGTCACTGAAAAGGTCCTCTTCTCGGTCCTCACAAAACATGACTGCGAGGATGCTTGGGCAGAAGGAAAGGCCTTTCCTGAACATCTTGAGATGTAAGTAGGCTTATATAGTGAAATACTGTCCCTCAGGTAACCTGGACTCGAGTCATAGAGAGCTTTGTAAGCCGTAACCAGCTATTTGAACTGTGCCTAGAAACAAATCAGTAGCCAATAAATTTTTTACAGCAAAAAAATTCTGTTCTTTGGACAGGCGAAATTTTTTTGGACTTGTCAGAGATTGTAAACACTTTGCAAAGGCTGCCACACATAGAGTGCGTTAAGAGTAATCCAAACTGGATGTAAGTACAGTGGACCCTCGACTTACAGACGGCTCGACTTACAGACTTTTTGAGTTACAGACTTCTCTGGCCGCAAAATTTAGATTCGACTTGCAGCCGGAGAATCGACCTACAG